TTAAATATCCCACGCTTGATTTGCATGGTCCCAGCCCATCGCCATTTTAGAAATTGACTAGCCCGAAGTAACTGCCCGCGTCTACACGTGGCAGTGAAATGGGATTCCGATTTAAAGCCCCTAAATCGAATTAGCTGGTAAACCTCATTGCAGGAGGAATACCAGCTAATTCGAGTTCAGGCTTTAAATCGGAATCCCGTTTCACTGCCACGTGTAGACACGGGCAGTTACTTCGGGCTAGTCAATTTCTAAAATGGCGACCGGCCAGTAACATGCAAATCAAACGTGGGATATTTAGATCTCAGGCTTGTTTTGCAATTTCAGTCGCCCTCATTAGCCTCCCTAGATCAACCTAGGGGGCTAGTGTAGACGTACCCAGACAGACAGACAGGCACACATTTCTAACATGTACAGTAAGAAGAGGGTGGACAATGTGAGCTTGCTCTGTGTAAAATAGTAAAACGGATTTATCTGGGGTTCAGGTCTCAATGGGGCTGTGTTCCGAGTTGCTGAACCTACCTCCAGCTGATCTCAGTGTCTGTATCTCTTACCCCATCTCTGTGTCATCACCAGAGGTGGCGACAGGGCCTGGCTCAGCAAGACATAGGAAAGGGGGCACCTAGGAAGGTTGGCTTAGTGGTATTTTGGCAAATCAAGAGACAGTCTCAAGGGGATCTCTTTGACTAAACCCGTCATACCTGCTGTACTCCTTTTGTGTATCCGTAGTTTGTACTACTGTTTCTGGGGAGGTGTCTACACAGCACCCTAAACATAAAATAAGATACGATATATGCAATTTGCGCTATGCAAATTGTGTATCTTATTTCAAATCTATTTAGAAAGAGTTTATTTTGAAATTTGGCATGTCTACACAGCACCAAATTTCGAAATAACGTGCTATTTAGAGACATCCCTTAACCCTTGTGGAATGAGGGTTACCACGATGCCGAAATAGCATATCTGTTATTTCAAAAAATAACAGCTTGTGTAGACGCCGGGTAGCTATTTTGGAATATCTCCGGTATCCAAAATAGCCATGCAGTGTAGACGTACCCTGGGTCTGATAAAACCAAGTGAGATGATAACACGGCCAGCCCTACTGCGGGCTGAATAGAAAACTGAAATATCAGCCAAAGAAGCTCTCTCAACAGCTGATGTAAATCTTCAGGTAGAATCTGCAAACCACCTCCAACAAAGGCAATTACTGTTTGTGACAGTTGTGGATGAAAATTATCATTAGTAACGCTGCTCGAACCCAAAACTAATTAAGCTTTGAATAATGACAACAGGCTTAGGTGTGTAACTAACATGGCAAAAATGTCATACTAAAGTTCTCAGTAACCACTCATATTTCCCTAACATTATTAAATAGAATTTTCAAAAGTATGTAAGAGACCCAGGACTGGAGATCGTAGGACTTGTGCTCTGAAAACACTAGGGGGCTTTGGAAAATCTTACCCATTATTACTTTTTCAAAATGTGTTTGGTTTTACTGGGCAATGAAAACTAGAGTGAGGAAAGAGAAGGTGAGAGAATGGAGGATACTACAGTTTTCCCTCCCTGTTTTATTTAATAGCAAAAGAAGAAGCCTTTTTAAAAGGATTGACATAAAATAGCAAGTTGTTTACAGAGGTTTTAAAATTACTGGCTTTCATCAAATGTGTCAGAAACCAAACTGCGGTAGAGAGTCATATTGCAATAGAGTTCTCTCAACAGACACACACAATAGGCTACCTCGTCTCTCAGCTAGCAGCTGTCCTGATTAATTTTTAATTAAAAGAGACTTTAAATTAAATAAATATTGTACTGAATCCAAATAATCTCTCCTTTTCACTTTATGACATCTTTTACGTCCTGATTCAGCAAAGCATTTAAGCACATGCTTAAACCCCAGGAGCGCGTAAGAACATGCTTAACTTTAATCGTGTCCTTATTTGCTGAGTCAGGATCTTAATCTGTGACTGGCCACTTCTCTATTAATGGAGGGGAGCTTAAACTTTTCTGGCTACTAAGCACGATTAAGCACCTTATAACTACCTGCACTGTACAAACACTACCCTATTAAGCAAAGTTTGGCTATCACAGCGTGTACTATGCTGCAATCATTGTTGCCATTAAGTTATAGGCTAACTAAATTTCCTGGGAGACATCTTAGAAAATGGACAGACCTCAGACCCAACTAGCTGAAACAGTGATACAACTGGGCTGTGAGCCACTGTGCATTGGAAAGATGCTTCTTCCATGCATTCCTTGTAAGAGGAATGAAATTAAAAGCCAGTACTCAGAAAACTAATACAAAAAATGCTAATTTACTCAAGCATTGCCAACCTGTGGAACTCATTGCTCTAGGAGGTCGGAGTTTCTACAGAGAATTCTTTCCAGGTGTCTGGCATGTGGGTCTTGTCCACAAGTTCAGGACCTAATTGCCATATTTGATGACAGGAAGGAATTTTCTCCCAGGTTGGCAGGGACTTTGGGAAGTTCGACTTCCTCTGTAGAGGAGGGCATGAGTCACTTGCTGGTTTGAGCTAGAGTAAACGATGGAATCTCTGTTAAAGTCTTTTGGTCAGGATTTGAGGACTTCTGCAACTCAACCAGAAGCTATGGGCCTATTACAGAAGAGGGTGGGTGAGGTTCTTCGGCCTTCAGTATGCACGAGACCAGGCTAGAAGATCATGATGTTCCTTTTGGGCCTTAAACTCCAGGGGCCTGTGAGTGCAAGGCTGCTTGATGACAGTGATAAGATGCCTCAGATCAGTGTGGGTACAGACTGCAGATCAGGAGTTGCCCGGGCGGTTTGGGTAAATGAGCTCTTGCTGGTAATGGATGATGACTGAGGGTGGGATTTTTAAAGGACCTGAAGTGACTTGGGAAAACAAGTCCGTTTGATAGTCATTCCGGTGTGTGCTCCTCAATCACCTAGGCCCTTTTGAAAATCCCACCCTGACTTACTAGACTGAATATGTGCCAGCTCTCTCCGATACCGCTGCTCCTGAGATCTTCTTGATTCTCTCGCTGACTGCAGCAATAATGGACATGGCACTGCCAGTTCCTCCTGGTTCCTTTTTCTTCCCCAGAGGCTGGCGTTGGACAATTGCCCTTCATTTCTAATGGTGCTGGTGTGTGGCGCTCCGTCACATCTACCCTCTTATTCACCATGCATTTTGGACCATCGGGAGAGCTAGCAAGAAGGCTTGGGCTGGTGTGCATTAGGCCTACCAACACCCTGCGGATATCTGCCAGTACATACATACCATGGTATCTCACTGGATGACAGCCAGATTACAGGAGCTCACTCCAGACGAGACTGTAGTGATGCTGGTAGGCTGGGGGAAACATATGGAAAATATGGGGAGAAACCAGTGCACTTGCTTATTGAGTGTGTGCTACTGCCACTTACTACCACAGTCTAGGGGTGATGTTCATTACCCAACTGCTGTTAAATTATCATATAGTGATATGAGATAATTTTTGTCTTGGACTGCCTAGGAGATTGTAACCATTTCCATAGGCACTGTGGTTTTTTTGTTTCTGTTTTGTTTTTTTGTTTTTTTTTTAATCTATAGCCGTAATCAGCTTAACTTTTCTAAAGCATGTTATGTTTAGAACCCACAGCTTTTAGTTGATGGACTGCTCTTTGCTCTTGATTCTATAGGTATTTTATGTGGCTATCCCTCCAAGTCCTTGCATTATAGTTCATAAAATGGCCTATATCTGGGCTGGGATTTCATTTCTTCTGGGACTGCTAAGTCTGAGTGACTGGAAATTCAGTTTTCATTTCCAATTAAAAATAACTTCAGACTAACAAATCAGTGACGCAATATAGTAGATACAATAAAAATGACATAGTAGACCAGGGCTCTTGGCTTTAGCCACCGCCCAGCCTTGCTCCTCTGTTAATTCCACTGTTTCCTGGACTCTTCTTGTCTAGACTACAGAGTTTTGTTGGAAAAACGGACATTTTTTCCGACAAAACTTGACTTATGTCCATACTGCAAGCATGTTCTTTCAACAATAAATTGAAAGAACAGAGCGTTTTTTGTGCATTTGGTAATCCTCATTCTACAAGGAAGAAGACTTTTTTCGAAAGAGCTCTTTTGCAAAACGTCACATGTGGATGAGGAAGAGGGAGTTTTTTCAGAAGAGGAAAGAGGAAAAAGCACAGGTGCCCTGGTGACTATTCTGTCCATAGCAATCACTGCTTACATGCGAGATCGTGTCCAGGCAGTACGGACACTATCTTTTGAAAAAGCGCATCGCTTTATCGATTCACTTTTGCAGTGTGGACACTCCCTTGCACAAGAAGATTTTTGGGACGATCTCTTCCGAAAAAAGCTTCTTGCTCAAGAAGCCTGCAGTCTAGACGTAGCCTCTGTGCCCTGGGAAGGAAAATTAACAGAGCCTTCCTCAGACTAATTTCAAGGCTTCTTCATAATGAGGACCTGCTATTTTGATTTTGTTAAATCAAGAGTTATGAAATCAATTTAAGCAATTTGGAATAGTTTCCAAGTGTAGCCATGGCCTTATAGTCCTGGTCTTCACAACATCCTCTGACAAGGAGTTCTACAGGTTGACTGAGTTGTGTGATAAAATACTGACTTTTGGCTGATCTGACATCCGGGCAAACCCCTCAAAGATTAGCCAGTGTGTATGATGCATATCATATTTAAAGTGCTAACTAGTGATTCAGTAGGGCCTGTGACATATTCAGAAGCAGATAAGGCTTCTCCTCCAGCTCAGGGAACTCAGTTTTCCTACTTTCAACTCTTCTCTTTTGTCTTTTCTTTTTTTAACTTGTAGTCCAAAGCACTTCGAATCCGGGCAAACCCCTCAAAGATTAGCCAGTGTGTATGATGCATATCATATTTAAAGTGCTAACTAGTGATTCAGTAGGGCCTGTGACATATTCAGAAGCAGATAAGGCTTCTCCTCCAGCTCAGGGAACTCAGTTTTCCTACTTTCAACTCTTCTCTTTTGTCTTTTCTTTTTTTAACTTGTAGTCCAAAGCACTTCGAGAAAAATGGCGCAGAAGAAGAAGAGGCCAGACGGAGGCAGTCAGAAGAGGATGAGTTCAAAGTGAAAAAGCTTGAAGACAACATCCATAGGTAGGTGCAGTTTTCCTTCACTTTTACCAAGTTAGATTCTGCCCCCTGTTGTGTTGTGCATGTGTGGTGTCCCTTAAACACTTGCGCCAGAATCTCCTTTGCCGTGCATCTCCTGTTGTCATTACATCAGTGCACAGTCCATGCAAAAAGTGTGCACACACTGCTTGCCATTCTGCTTTACACGGATGCAGTTAACTACACAAGGGGCAAGGTAACAGAGAATCTTGCCCAAGGAGTTGTGTCCATGCCTTCCACTGCCGAATGTGTCCCCTACCATTTTTTTTTAAATCGATTTCTCATTACTCCTTATGTCGCCCTGTTTGCTTGCTTTGCTTCAAAGGGTGTGTTCTAACACCAACAAGAGCAAATGCTTTTCCTGCTGGAGAACAAGCTTAAGCCCATGTGCTTCCCTCAGTTATGCCCATGTAAACCCTGAGATACTGAAGTCAGTGCATGAACTCTTAGATTTTCAGCAGCATAAGAAAGGTTGAATTTTGTTCCACAGACTTCACGTATTTGCAATTCCAGTCTTCAGAGTAGTCTTGATCCTGAAGGAGAGGAAGGATGGTGCAGTGGTTAGAGCACTAGGACTTCGGAGACCTGGTTTCAGTTCCTTGCTCTGACACATGCTTTCCAGTGTGACCATGGGCAGAGCTGGCCCAAGGTACGGGACAACTGGGCTACCGCCTGGGGTGCCCCATTGTAGGGGGCGCTGTGCGTGGCTGCCAGGCCCCCAGAGCGGGGCCACACATGCCCTGGACACCTGGGGGTAGGGGGAGTCACACTCCTGGGGGCAGCAGCGTGCTCCCAGGACACACGAATGGCTCAGGCCGGCCCTGACCATGGGTAAGTCACTTAGTCTGAGTGTATCAATTCCCTCGTCTGCCACAGCAACATCTGGCCACTGGGATAAAAGAACAACAAGGACTGAGACCTCTCTGGAGACCTGTATTCCTAATATTGAACAGATTCCTTTGACAATTAGATCCCTCCCACCAGATCCCATCGAGGCAAGTGTTAAGGAGGAAGTTCATGGAGGATAGGTCCATCCGTGCCTATTAGCCAAGCTAGTCAGGGACACAGCTCCATGCTCGGGGTGACCCTAAGCCTCTGAGTGCCAGACAACTGCCCTGTGCTGTACACTTCCCCTGAAGCCCTGGTATTGGCCACTGTTGGAAGACAGGACACTAGGCTGGATGGACCATTGGTCTGACCCAGTAGGGTCGTTCTTATGTTCCTGCGAGTGGTGGGGACAAGGGGAGCCAGCAGGAGCTGGAAGAGGGAGCCACAAAGAAGCCCAAACACCCTAAAATGATGATTTCCGTTTGCTGTTGGCACCCAGCCAGGGCAGAGCCTTGAGATAGTGAGCTGCGTCCCAGGAGGCCTGGAGCCAGAACATGTTAGAGAGTTGAGAGCCCTGGAAAGAGTTGCATGGTAATACGCTGGAACAAGATGTGTAGCCACATGGTTTCAGCGGACTCTCTCAATGCCATTCCCTCTGAGTGAATTCACAACAGGGTTATTAGCACAACACAGTGAAGGAACCTTTTTTTTTAAAACACGACTTTTAATCTGACAGTCCCACTTTAAATTGGAGGGACCATTAGGGCTAAAATGTGGGAATTCCATCCTTTCACCTGGGCAGGAGAACAAGGCATTTGGGGTGGATGTTTCTCCCTTTTGTGACAGGAGACCACTGAGGGGAGTGGGAAAGGGTCCAGTGTTCCCTGTAAGCTGTGCGCTTGTGTGGGCCACTCAGGAGAGATTCGGATGCTGCCCAGCTAATTAGCAGAGTGCCCACAGCTAGGTTTTATGTTTCTAGTGGTGATGCACATTCATCATGGCTCAGTGCACATCAAACATTTCTTCTGCACATGGATGGAAACAATCCACACATGGATGGATAAGATTAGCAGGGACATTGAAAAGGTCTGGTGAGAGATCACTGGCGAGAATCAGAAGCAAGCTCAGTGTGTATACATGGAGCTTGATGGTAGAAGAAGGCACTAATCCTCTCACCTCCACCTCACACATCACTTCCACATTAGCACACACTAGAAAATTCACAAGTGGTGGGACAAGTTAGGTGGGAAAAATTAGAGGGACTCAGCATCACCCGCTGAGCGTATTAAAATGTGTCTTGCAAATTGAATGTTTCTCCTCATAAGATCTCGGCCCAGCATTTGTTGAGTTCCAATACTTTGTGTTTGTTATATAATCCATCATGTTTTCCAAATTCTTCTAGAGCACTACTGAAGACTAGTAGTCTCTTGTCGATTGTTTGAATAGCTACGTTTCACATTTAACCCAGACCACGTATTTGCAACTAAGAGTTGGAATTTACTGTTGCCTTGAATAGCCTCACTTTGAATTGCAACTCACTCTACAAGTGGACCCATTGAAATCATTGGGACCACATATGCAGCAAGGCGCACCCATGGTGGGTGCGTGTATCAGAATCGGATCCTTTGTTGGAAAGGGCTGAAAAACTCAAAGCTGAAAACTCAGCAGTGTTTCAGTTTTTCCTGGTTTGTCATTAGATTTTCATGAAAAACAAGAGACACGATATCATCAAGTATGGCCTTTAGTGTCATTAGATTTTCATGAAAAACAAGAGACACGATACCATTAAGTATGGCCTTCAGCCTGCAAACCTTTATGCGGGTAAGTTACTTTACCCATGTGTGTAATTTCGCTGACTTTAATAGGACCACTCCTGCACAAGTGCTTGCAGAATCAGGGCCTATCATAGTCAGCATTTCTTCATACACAATCCCAGTCCAATGCTAAAAGTCGGCATGGCCCACAGACATCATAAAAACAAGTTGTAAAGTACAACAGTCCAGAATATAGAAGCCATTACAAATAACTAAATACTGTTGTGTAATTGTGTAGATAATTACCAACAAAGAGCATACAGAAGTACAAAACAGACAAACGATAAAGCAAGGAAACAAAGACTGTGGCAAAATAAAAGCAGAATAAGAGCCTTGAAATAAAAATCAGAGAGAGACCACTGCGTATTTGGGATTATTTAAATTTGCTTAGAGAGGGAGGAATCCTAGGAGCATCAGAAGCATAATTAACCAAGCAAGAAAAAGCAAGATGGGGAGAGTCACACAGCGGAGCGATCTTTGTACCCAGGGATTTATTTCTGACCTAGCCCTGGGCAATGGAATAAGACTGAGTTTGATGTTACATGCTTTTAGAAAAGAGAGGAGGGGGGCAGAAGAGGCTGCTGTGTCTCTTTTTTCAAACTTACGTGAGTAGCCTCTGTAGAGTCGTAAGTGCTTGGAAATCAGCTTTTTACTCTGAGCCAGAAAGAAAACTTCTTCCCACGAAGACTTTTACTCAAAAGTCACCTAATCTTGTACTGGCTGCTCATTTGGATCTAGATTTGGGCAATGATTCAGTTTGAGGAGAGAGGAGATATTTTCTTCTGAACACTTGGACTAATCATTAGCTGACATGTTTAGCATATATGGTGGGTTTGATCTTGTTTTGAAGTCTCCTTAGACTCTTGCCTTTGGCTTCAGTGGGCGCATGATTGGGTCTAAACAGAAGTTAGATGGGGCTTAAATGAAAATCAGTCTTGAACTACAGGTTGCATCTCCCTAAACCAGAACTCTCTCGCCCAGCGACACCCGTGGTCCAGCTGTTGCTGAATGAGAGTGTCCCAGGGCAGGAGGGCCAGCAGCTGAGTCTCCCACAAAAGGCGGGGTAGGGGCAGCCTGTGCATGCCGGCCCAGCAACAGAAGCAGAGCCGTGGCAGCCCGGTTGGCGGTAAGGCAGGGCCACAGCAGCCCAACAGGGGAAGCCCATCTGGGGCCATGGCAGGTCGGCAGCCTGATTGGGGCCACGTGCCGGCTGGCAACGGGACCACTGCTGCATGCGGCCATGCCAGCAGTGGGACTGGAGAAGCAGCTATAGCAATGGGGTTGGGACAGCTGTTTCTCCTAGCTGGCAGCAGGGCCAAAGGAGCCAGCAGGGGGAAGGGGCCACAGGCTGAGGGGGCGAAGGCAGGGTGTCTTCCCTGGTCTGGCAAATTCCTTCATCCGGGACCGCTCAGGTCCCAAGGGTGCTAGACCAGAGGGGTCCACCCTATATTAGATTCAGCAAACATGACTTCAAGGCTGTGTGGCCTGTTTTTTTAAATCTGTAGTAAAATGCCAGGCAGGAGTGTGCAAGAATGGCACAGAGCAGCCAAAACCAAGAAAGAGCAGCGTTAGGGATAATACTGTTTTCCTTTTTCTGATACGGTTTCTTCTTCAACTCTGTAAGGCTTGGCATTGCCCTCGGCTGATATTCCCTGAGTTCTACACTTGTAGTGGACTGTGGGCAGTAAATAACTCTGCGACTCACAAACATGAAATGTATCCTTTGGTCTAGCCGCGAGATAAATGCCCAGTGAACTTTCGCAGACACATTCTTGACTAAGTGCTGTAGGTGAAGCAAGCACCGGAATGCTCTGTCGGCACGTCATGGTTATTTTTACCACATGACAGTCTGCTATTTTACAGCAGCGAATGGAAAATTGGCATTCGACATCTGGGTATTAACAGTCAGCCTTCACGGTGTATGGCAGCCCACCCACAGCCTGCTGTTCCTTCCCCGCATTGAAAGGCTTACAATCTGATTTTAATTCCCAAGATTATGTTATGTAGTGTCCCAGAGACCTACATTTGCCACAAAGGGTGAAGGATTTTTCTTTGCTATGAAACCATTATGCAAGATGCTTACATGTTATAGCCTTTGCGACAACATATTTCATCGCTTGATGACTGACGCCAGGTAACAAGGCTGGTAGCTTCTCTGATTGGAGCTAGCTGTCACTGACCTGCCACAAAAGTGATGAGACTTTTATGAACTCCATGGGAGGATGGATGCTATTCCAGTGACTTGCTTGACACCCTGACTTGCTGATATAAAGCTGTGCTCCTTGGGGGAGAAGGGGATCACTCAGCCAAATCCTCAGCTAATATAAATTGGTGTCTTTCTAC